TCCCTCAAAATGGTTCCCTTGGTCATTGCTGGTGAAGTCCACCAAAGTAGGGATAGTGATGTGTGATGTGGGACTGTGACCTTCCTGTTGGAGGAGCAGAGGTTCTGTCTCTGATAAGGAAGTAGGAACCACTGAAGGAGCCTGGAGTGGAGCCTGGCCCACGGAACGATACCCATGCAAGAGACCATCTTTCCCAGGAGCTTTGACAGCTGTGCCAGGGGCACCTTCCTGTCCTTCCGAACTTGATGAACCAGCTTTCTAATGCTGGTTCGACGCTCCTGAGAAAGGTATACTTTGCAAAGTGTCAAATCTATTATTGCCCCCAGATGTTGGAGTCTCCTTGTGGGAGTCATGTGGCTCTTCTTGAAATTCACAGAGAACCCGTGATTCTGAAGAGTGAATATTGTGGTCTGAATGTCCAACTGTGCTGTCTGGAAAGAACTGGACTGAACTAGAATATCGTCCAGGTAACATTGTACGTGCACTGGCATCAACCTGAGATGGGCCGCTATGACTGCTAATATCTTTGTGAAGACCCTTGGGGCTGAGGATAGGTCGAATGGAAGGGCCCTGTACTGGTAATGCCGGTGCGCATAGCAAAACCTGAGAAACCTGCGATATTGTGGGTGAATGGGAATATGTAAAGCCTTCGTGAGATCTATTGAAGAGAGGAAGTCCCCCTTCCTGAAGCTGGCCAATATGGACTTTAGGGACTGCATCTTGAACCTTCTGTAGATTAAGAAATAATTTAGTCCCTTCAAATCCAGTATCGCCCTCCACCCTCCTGAGGCCTTTGGAACCACGAAGAGAATGAAGTAAAACTCCTTTCCTTCCTGGTCCCTTGGTACTGGTTCTATGGCTTGAATTGTTACCAGATGAGAAATGGCCGAGGCTACCAAGTTTGCCTTGGTAGTGTTCCGGGAGAGTGGACACCTTATGAAGCGGTCTGGTGAGGGAGAGTAGAACTCTAAGGTGAGACCGTACTTGATGGTCTCTATTACCCAGGCGTCGGAGGTGGTCAGTTCCCAGACGTCGCTGAACTTTTCCAGCCGACCCCCAATGGGAGAGTCCTCCCTGGCATCACTTAGACCGCCTGTAAGGACGGCCTCCAGATTCCCTGAAGGGACGCTTAGACTGGAATTGGCCTCTGGCTCCAGTATTTTGGCGATCCTGGGAATGATCCTGTCTAGAGTAGAAGGATCACGAGCCTCTTGGCCAATCCCAGGATTGCCCTGGCCGAAAGGGCTGTCTCCACTCCCAGGAGCCACTGGGACGGAAACTTTGTTTACGGAACTCCTGTGGAGGTCTCCTGTCCAGTTTTTTAGAAGGATGGACTAAAATCTTGCGTTTGTCCTTGCCCTCACTAACGTGTGGATCCAGGATAGATCCAAACAAGAGTGTCCCACTATATTTGAACGTGGACAGGCACCATTTAGTCTTCAAGTCTGTCTTTCAATGTTTCAGCCATAGGAGCCTGCGAGAAGCAACCGTGGCTGCTATAGATCTTGCAGAATATTTAGTTGAATGTAAGGAGGCGTCAGCCATGTATTGTGACGTGGCCACTAGCTTGGCCAGAGTTTGATGTGTTCTAACCTGATCTGGAGGGACGCTGGCTTGTAGTTCACGAAGCCACATGATACAAGCCCTGGCAAAGAAGGAGGAAGAAGTTGCAGACTTGGCCGCCCAGGCCAAGGCCAGGTGTGCCCGACGGAGAGAGAGCTCAAATTTCTTTTTTTTTTATTGAAAATTTTTAAATTTTTACAAAAACAAATCCCCTTCCCATACCCCCCCCAACCCTACCTCACCCCCCTCCTCCCCAACCTCCCAAGCCCTCCCCTGAACTTCCCAGAGCTAAGTACAGGCTTAATTAAGAAAAAAACTTAAAACACTTTTAAAACCTAAACAAATTTAAATACAATCATCATTCTATATAAACTCCCTCCAAAAACGCAAATTTAAACATTACTTTCTTTGAATATCTATGCCTATAATATAAAATCTAATTTCTCCCTCTTTCTTTATCCTAATACAAAAAAATAAACATATAAACCTTTGTTATACCATTAAAACTAAATACTCTTAGAAAACTTAAAATAAATACATATTTCCTTCAATCTTCATAATCTTCTCACCTATCCAAAAAAAAAAAAAAAAACTTAAAAATCCTAAATTTGAGAGAGCTCAAATTTCTTGTCCTCCGCTTTCAGGGTCTCTGCCATGTCCCCTGGAATAGCAGATGTAGAAAATAAGGAGATCAAAGGACTATCAACAGTGGGTACCTCCAAAAGTGAGGCAAATGAAGGAGAAATGTTAAACAGTTTCTTTTCTACACTGTTAGGAGCAGGTGGAGCTGCCAGCAAAGACCATTGGTTTTCCACGGAGGTGCGAAAAACCTCTGGGCAAGGAATATACTTGTCCTCCGCTACCTTCATTGTGAACACAGGGATAGCCTCCTGACTGGTAGAAGGTTTCTCCTCCTGCACTGAAGTGAGATTAACAGTGGTAATTGCTTTGATCAAGAGAGATTTAAAGAGAGAAGGGTCAAAGAGACCTGAAGTTGAGGTCTGCTCAGGAGCAGCCTCATCTTCCGACAAAGGTATGTCAGTTATGTCTAGGTCCACCAACTCCGCCTCTCCCAGCTGTGAAGAGGTCTCTGAAACATCTGTAGCAGAAACAGTGGCTATCCTTGTTTGGGATGGAGGTTGGAAGGTCAGTTTTCCCTTGGAGGACATGAACTGAGTGAATGCATTTTGCATGAAGGACTGAAATTGAGCAGACCATATGTCCTCCTGAGACCTGCCACTAGGGCCAGCCACAGCCGGAACCTGATCTGGTGATGATGATGATGAGCGAGGGAAACCAATCTGCTCAGTTTCCCCTGAGGAGACCAAGTTCTTAGAATATCCTGAGAAGAAATAAATGTGGGCTCGGGTATAGGATCCTCCAATGGGGCGGGGGAAACGATCTCAGCCTCATTGGACCTGAGTCTTTGGGCCCTAGAGAACTGTTTTTCCAATGCCAAATGTCTCCTCGAGGCCTCTCACTCAGCTGTTTTGGAGGGCTCCTTCTCAGATATAAGCTTTGTTTTGGCTTTTTTCTCCCCCCCCCGACTCTAATTCAGTGGATCTGTGCTTTTGTTGTTGTGGGGGAGGCATTTTGGAACCCTGTGAGGCTGAAGGCGAGGCGCTGTCTGCCATTGCGCACCAGGTATACCGAGTAGGAAATACCTGGAGGCGGGGGGGGGGAATCCCAAGTACGCAGATCAATTGACAGAGATGAAAAGGAGTCAATCCTCGCTCTGTACAACTGCAATGGCCGGACAGTCAAGAGATTTGCTAAAACCCCTTGTCAGGCCGGTGACAAATGCCACACTCTATTGAACAGTTGGAAAAAAAAAATTTCCCTTTTCGCTCCTTCACCAGAAGAATTGTTTGTGATAGTGTCACCGAACACGGCTAATGAAAACAGCAGTTAACGAGCTCAGGATTATCCTAATAGACTGAGCTCTTTTTTTCCCCCAGTATAGGGGCTGACAGGCTAGGCCCCTGGGGTGAAGCAGGTATCCCTCCTGCAAGGAAGATCGATACCCCTTCACTTAATGAAAGAAACCGGGAGTCTCGCTGCGGTTAGACCCACCCCAAATGATGTCCGTCTATAATCTGCACCCAAAATGGCGCCCGCTGTTGTGACACTCTCAAAATGGCGGCTGCCAGTGAAACACGCATCCAAGATGGCGGCCGTGCCCCCTTTAGAGTCAGGAGGAATGGAAAGTGAAAGTGAAAGAAGAGGATAAGCGAAGAAAGCTAATGGCCAAAGCCCAGGAAAAAAGGGCCCCAATAATTCACTTGCTGTTTGTGCTCCTCCGAGACTGGGATGCTTTTGTCCACATGGACTCCTCCGAGCGGATCCGGCTGCCGGGAACTCTCCGCTCCTCAGCTGTGTAGCCGCCGTTGATGCCGGTAGCGATCCGGAAGCCGTTCAACAAGGAAAAAAACGGTCTGACTGCAAGCGAACAGAAGCTCGAAGGCAGAGACCGAGCGATCGAAGGAAAAAAGGCTTGTAAACAAGCTGATTGAGCTGGCCAAGAGGCCCGAGGCTCGTAGCCACAAGCCGGTTGCCGGCAATTCCTTCAGTTGCTAATTCCAGCCAATTTTGAATTTGAAAGTTGCCAATTAAGTTTACCCTAATAATAATTTTGATTGAAGACCAAATTTCAGTGAAATTAAATATTTAACCTAATCTATCTGTGGAGCCTAAACCAACTACATGTTGCCGAGCTCAAGACTAAGTCAAAACTGGGAGACACGCCCAAAGGAGAGGCGTGGCCAAAGTTCTGACCTAGTCTGCTGAGCAGGAAGGCTGTAATAACCATCCGGTGGATTCTACAGTCATCCTGCTGGAGAAGAGGACTGGCAGACCAAGGGCAGGAGAGACCCAGCCCAATAAGAATGTGTGTCAGCTAGTCCGAGAACTGCATGAAGTCAGCTCTGAGAGAGGGAGAGGGAGGGAGAAAGGAAAGAGAGAAAGGGGGAGAGAGGGAAAGGGAGAAAGAGAGAGAGAGAGAGAGAGAGAGAGAGAGAGAGAGAACTCATGCACAGCAGCCTCTATTTTTAATTAAACTCTTCAATCAAGCCCCCTTTCCAGCACGCATGCACATGTGAGTTTTGCGGCTCCCAGTGTTTTCTGTGGGAAATGGGTCCAAGTGGCTCTGAGTGTTTAAGGTTGCTGACCCCTGATCTAGGCCTTTTAAATCATTGCATGAAAAACTGGAGATTCTGCTAAATGAGACAGGCTTTGTGTGTGGTGGATGGAGTAGTCAGTCAGATGTAGTCTGTATAATTTGAACATCACACACAAAAGATGCCTCTGTCCAATTTTGGAAGAACCCGTCCTTTCCCACAATGTTGCCTATCCTGCTTGTTAAGTATCTCCAACCAATACCTATTTCAAGCAGCTCCATTTGCTACCAAAAATGGGTTGAATGCATCTAAATTTGGACACAGCCCCATTTTCCACCTAAATAGCTGTTAGATTTCTGTATAGGTTCTGCAAAGCCAGTAGGAAAAATGACAAGCACTTGGGATACTGTCATTGCTACCCATTGTTTTTAATTCAGATTTTACTGTATCTTGAATGCAATAAAATATACAACACCATTTTCTAACGACATTTTGCAAATGTCAGCTCAGCACCATAGTAGATAAAACCACAGCAATTCAAATACATTGAATCTATGAACCAAATAATGGGCAAACTCCAAAAGCCGATAACTATTTTGTTCTCATTAGGAAAGAAGTTAAGACTTCCAGCTTGCTGTATGGAGCTGAAGCTCTCCTTCAAAGGATCTATGTAATTAATTAGAACAGCCTGCAGTTTCACAAGGCTGACTAGAATATACTGCTCCCAAGTAGTTTCCTGCTGCTTTTTGTATGCAATACATAAATAGCAGGACAGGAATTTAAAAGACCAAAGGAGGAAGACTGACCTTAGGTGGATACTGCTAAAATAAACAGATTTTTCAAAGTACAAATTTTTCCATCACTTCAAATTCACAATCCCTCACTATGTCTCACAATAAAGAACTTCCTGAAGAACCATGCTATACAGTATATCACATGCCTTTAAAGTAACATTTCCCACTTCAAAATAAAGGCAAATATTTTTTAATTCGGTTTATATTTCCCTTAAATCGAGATGTTTTTCCCCACCATTTGAGTACTACTTCAAGTTTCAAGAAAGCAGACCTTCTCTTTGGCTCAACAATAGTTTAACTTGCCTAACTTTTTTCCAAAGTTTAAATTGTTTCCAAGCTCAAGAGGTGATGAAATCATTCCTAAATTAGAGATAGGCAACCTAGTACCATTTAGATTTTTGGACTCTAATTCCAATGTAAGTCAGTAATATGGGAGCTGCAGTGTAAATTATCTGAAGGATACCTAATTGCTGTCCCAACTGTGCAGTATCAAATATATGTTTTAAATCAACCATCAATTTATTTATTTTAGTTTTATTTTCAGAGTGGTTGAACTCTTACTTTTTTTAATTCACAAAATATCAACTCCAGGTACTTTTTTCTTGAAAGACTTTCATAAACTGAATGCAAGGTTATGTGCCAGAAGCAGCCAGTCTGAAATTCACTTTTTTTGTTCACTCAGATTCAAAGATATTCACTACAGGAAAAAAAAAATCTGACTACACCTGAAGACATATTTCACTAACCTAAAGTTTAATTTATTTGGTTGGGACAAGAATGAAAAAGGGGTTATAGCTGTTCATAACAGTCATCCAGAATTATCTGCTCCATAATTCAAACCTTTATAAAATTCAAAGTAACATCAGCCATCTCTATGAAATTGAGGAGGAAAGCTTCAGAAGAACATTGAAAATTCCTATTTGATTCCTTTTAATATAAAATGTATAATTGAGATATCCAATGTACAAATACAAAAATGTGCATAATAAAAGGTACCATAATACTGTACATACAGTATAAACTGTTTTAACAAAAATAATTGAAAAAATCCCTGGGACTTCTGCAGATCTGGAAGAAACATGAATACAAGTTTTGGAAACATCAGAATGTGAGCATAACTACTTTTCTCTTCTGTTCTTTTGCACAATACCATTTAGCAGCACGAAATATCTCTGGATTTTACTAAGGCCAATTATTTTTTTACTGGAAATTATTTTGCACCCAGTTTGCTAGATATAATACGCCATGAGAAAAAGGTATGCATTCCCTCTTAAGTGAAGAGCATCAAATCCAAACAGAAGTTTTCCCATCCCCTGATTTACTACTGCCACTGCTTTTGTTTGAGCTGCCTCTAGGCTTTTTCTCCTTGGAACAGGATGGATTATTCTGATTATTGTATGCATGGATGGCAAGATCTAAGCGTTCCTGAGCTACTTTGATTTCTCGCTGAATGTTCTCCAGTTCAGTGGGAATGTTCTCCTCATTGCTGCCATATTGTTGTTCTTGGGCAATATTGGCTTTGTTCTGTTTATGTGCTATTTTGGCATTAGACAATTCTGTGTACTGTATCTGATCAGGTTTCATTGCAATATTGTACCCTGGAGGAGCTGATGGGGTATTCCAAATAAAAGGATAATGGTAAGTTCCTGAATCTTCTAGCTCCTTTCGCTTGCTATTCAGTGTGTCCCGAATGGTGCCAAATCCCAAGTGAAGCATTTCCCAGATGTTCAGAAGTAAACACAAACCACTCACACCATACATGATGAGCAGGAATATGGTTTTTTCTGTGGGTCTTGAAATGAAACAGTCAATAGTATGAGGACACGGATTTCTGCTACAAAGAAACGTTGGACTGACTTCAAATCCATAGAGTAAGTACTGGCCTATCAGGAAGCCAATTTCAAACATAGTCCTACTCAGCAGTTGAAAGATGTAAATCTTCATAAGCCCATCTTCTCGGATTCGCCTCCTACCATCATGCTTTATTTTTGCGAAGGATGGATTTTGCTTGTTCTCTCGTTCGCTCTCTACCTCAATCTCTGGATACATCATTGGATCTTCCTCATTATCGTCTTCTGCTTCTTCTAAACCTCGATGTTGTTTCCAGCGCATTAGAAGAGGTTTGCTTCGTAACTTCCGTTCCGTTTCACCATGTTCCACTATCCGAGCTATTTTGTGAGCAGCATAGCCTAAGTACATTACTGAGGGAGTAGAGACTAGGATGATTTGAAATACCCAAAACCTCACATGGGAGAGGGGGGCAAAAGCATCATAGCACACATTTTCACAACCTGGCTGTTCTGTATTGCAAACAAATTTGCTTTGTTCATCATAATAGATGGATTCCCCTCCCACAGCAGTGAGAACAATGCGGAATACAATCAGCACAGTCAGCCAGATCTTCCCAACAAATGTGGAATGATTGTGGATCTCCTCAAGTAGACGGGTCAAGAAACTCCAACTCATCGTGGTCAAAGATGTTTACCTAAGAACAACAAAGGAGGGGAACAGAATAGGTTTTAAATACATTCTTTTAAACAAAGGAAAAATATGCCGGCATTGAATTTGAATCATACATGATTTTACCATTTTCCATATATTGCTTCTATTGCAACCTGAAACAAATTAGAAAGTAAGTGTCTAAAATGATTCCATTTAATATTTATTAACATTTTATAGTGACATGATTTAGTTCTACTTTTATTTTGTTAATTTGAACTTGTCTAAGCCCAAGCCAGAACATATTTATATAAATGTTCAATTTTATCAAAAGTCCCAAATTCAGTCAGGTAACTGCAGAGGGGGATGAGGGAAGCTATCAAAACTTCAAATCCAGGTTGTAAAGACCCCTTTTGGAAGCAGTTGTAACTTCAAGCAGTTGCTAAGTGACTGATCATAAAAGTTGAGGATTCTCCGTAATATCCAAACAGTTTCCAACAAAGGCCAGACAGCCTAGTAGAACATTTTAAAATATGTTTCCACTGTTCAATGTTATATTCATATTTTGTCTGAATTTTCCTGAAAAGAATATACATTCTAAACTTCTATGTAACGTTTATATTTTAATCTGAAGAATACTTTATTTCATTTTCATTATCTAATTCACGCTTCCTAAACTTTTTGCCATCACGACTCCTTTCAGTGTAATTTTAATATACATAATTCTCCCAAAATCCAAACATAAGATAAATACAAATGAACAATGAAAAGAATACAGTTAAACTATGGAGGAAAAGGGATCTTTCTAACTGGTTTCCTGAAGAAAGCACACGTTCTAACTGAACTGCATTGTAAAAGTTTAAAGGCATGCTTGCCTTCAGCATGTACAAGCTAATTTAAACAATTCTCCATTATATCTGAAGTATGAAATTGCACTTTCATTCCATTTTCTTAACCTGAATATGAAGCTGTTAAATGAAGTTTATAGACTAAAAAACTATTTGATCTGAACCAATCCTAAATATGTTCTATGTGGTAGAAAGGACTTATACTGCATATTCCTTCATAATCTGAAAAATAATTGAAACACATCCCATTCCATTTGCAACCCTGAAAAAATATTTAAATCAATTTAATTTATAAAGTCTCACCCTCCCAGTTTAGAGTTTTGTGTCAAGTTAGGTTTAAACTGACAGAATTGATTTTTGGTTTGTTAAACAGTACTTATAAACAACTCTAATGTTTAAGTTGTATTTTTGTGATTAACAAATTGTGTGTCCATTTAAAATGGATTATCCTTTTTTAAGTTTGATATTCAGAACCGCAATACTGGAGTTCTCTTTAAGCTATGGCAAAAGAGTGAAATATATTTAAAATCAGCATAAACTAAGCAGATATGTAACTGTCACGGAATGAGCAGTAAGAAATTAAGCAAGAATGTCAGTTATCTAGTACAACAGCAAATCGAGGGACATAACCATTGTTTGATTATCAAATCACACAAGGTAATCTCAGACATTTAGTATAGATTTCCTATTAGGAAAGGAAGAAAGGAGGGAGTAAGTTCAGCAGCAGCGAACTTTATCTTTAAAACTTACGTTTTTAAAATTCAATTACTGCAGATTCATTCAATCTGTGTGCATATACACTTGTTGTATATGGAGTTTTGGAGTTGCTATCACCTGGCAGATCTTTTATATGAACAATTGGTAGTTTTTTGATGGGTGGAAAACAGGTTCTTCCATAAAGGAAACAGAATGAAGACTGGGATATAGTATTCATATGGGTTTGATTGCACTTATTGATGACCTGTAGTAAGCTGGAGTAGGGGTGGTGAATCCATACCAGTTCGCTTTGATCTCTCAGCAGCTTTTGATACCATCAACCATGGTATCCTTCTGGGGCCTTGGGAATGTGAGGCACAATTTTGCAGTGGTTCTCCTTTTGATGTAGTCAGTTGCAATCAGTGTTTGTGGGAAAGGAACAGTTCAGCCAGAGGCTCCTGCTTTGCAGGGTCAGTGGTGCTCCTCTCTTTTTAAATAGCTACATGAAGATTGTTTGGTGTGGTTATTTGTTGTACAAGGTAAAGTATCATCAAAACACAGATGATACCCAGTTGTACATTTTTATTTCCAGCCAGCTGAATGAGGTTAACGTTCTATCCTAATGCCCAGAGATTGTGAAGAACTGGATGGGGAAGAACAGATTGTGGTTCAGTCCTGCCAAGACTGGGTAGTAATAGGTTTTAGGTCTTCTAGATCTGGGAGTTGGAGTGTGTCAATCTTTGGGTCTGGATGAGATAGCAGTGCCTTGTTCAGACTTGGTATACAATCTGGGGATTCTCCTGGATTCACAGCTCTTGCTCAAAGAGCAGATGACAGCTGTGGACAGGGGAACTTTGCCCAAGAGCATCTTATGTGACCATTCCTGGACCCTGCTCATGTCATGCATCCCTTAGTCACCTCCTAATTCAAACTACTGCAACATATTGTCCATGGGGCTGCCTGTGAAGAACATCTGGAAGTTTCAGTTGGTCCAAAATACAGCAACTCAGGTAGTTATAGGCACAGCTAAATTATATCCATGTATACTACTACACCACAAGCTGCATTGGCTCGTGCAAGCTTCTGAGTGTGATTTAAAGTGCTGGCTATCACCTTTAAAATCCTGCATGCATAGGACTGGGTTAGTTGTGGGACCAATTTCTCCCACAACATCTGCCTGCCACCTTATGGGTCCTGAACCACCACTTTGGTAGTGGCCCCTGTGCTCTAGAATGCTTCCTCCCACCCTTGATATAAGACAGCCTCCAACTCCACTCATCTTTGGGAAAGGGCTGTTATATCCAGGCTTTTTCTCCAGGAATTTGGGTCCAGTTGAACAGAGTTCCATTTTGGTTGTTTTTATTGTTATGCTTGGCCAGCATTTTTTTAATTTTATATTTATTCAATGTTTTTTGTTATTTGGATTTTCCCCTGATTTATTATTTCTTGTTGGTGTATGCCAGGGGTAGGCAACCTTGGCTCTTTTGTGACTTGTGGACTTCAACTCCCAGGCTCAGGATTCTGGGAGTTGAAGTCCATGAGTCATAAAAGAGCCAAGGTTGCCTACCCCTGGTGTATGCCATACACAGTCAAATTGAGTTGGGCTGCCTTATAAATCTAGTAAATAGTTAAACACAACAAATAACCACATCCAATTTTCTGTGGTGTGAAAAAAATATAGAAGTTACATTAGAAATTACACTACATAGTTGTAGTATAAAAAAAATGAAATAATTCCATAATAAAAAAAAACATGTTTGGAAGTACCGTACCTTGCCTTCAGAACAGAGCAATTCACATGTACCTTCCAAGAAAGCCCAGATAATGTCTGGTTCTAGTTTCAACACTTTTATATCAAAGTGAGGATTTTGGAATAAGACTACCTAAACTCCTATTCAAAAATGAGACTTGCTTATTAATAAATTTTCTTTAAAAATAAAATTCTTGTGCTCTTATATTTGTAATTATAACCCTACTTCCAAATCAATTTTGAAGTACTTACAGGAAAGAAAAATAAAAGTTTTGAAATACCTTTACAATCTCAGAATTTACTGTTATTGACAATCTCTTTGGAGATGGGGGTGCACAGAAAGAGGCAAAAGGAAGCAAGTGACAAAGTGGGCATTGCAACACTAACACTATCCCCCTTTTATATATGTACAGACATCCCACGCAAATACATAGTGGAGTTTGTGTCAGGAGGTCACAACACATTTCATCATTTTGGTATGAGCATTGCTGGCTGAAATGTAGAGAGATCTCATACATGTAAAACATGCAAGGAGACCTAGGAATAATTTTGAGCTAGAAGAGTTCTACAAGGAAAAGTTGAGAAAAAAACCCAAAAGCAAAAACAGAAAGTCTCTTAGCTAGCTACAGAAAATGTTGGGAAACTACATATTATTTTTGCCAATGGAAGCATTATAAAGTAGGCCCAAAGATGCCCATTTTTTTACGCCTGCCACATTGACAGTTTTCTTATTTTGAATGATAATGATACAAAAATAGTTAAATATACATCCAAATTTTCCAAGATTTCAATGCCACAACTTTTGCAGTCAGCTCTGTAACATGCAACCTCCAAGATTATTTTTCTAGTCATTTCATTTTCCAAATAAAAGGATTATTCAGTTCATGCAAATTTATCTCATGTGACATGTTATAAAGAAAAGCTGCATTTAAAAAAAAGCTGTGGATTTAACTAGTTCTCAGTTCTCAACAGAAGCTTTGTTCTGCCAGCCTGTTTTGGTATTTTAACAAAGCATGGCTTATCTCCCCCCACACCCACCTTGAGGCAAATCAGGTATTAGAACATAAAGAAAATAAAAAGGGAGAAGAGAAGCAGTTATACAGTTACAAGCAATTTTCTTCTCTTTCTTCTTTTCATAAATCTATCTATATCATTAGAAAACAAAAATGTGGACTTTGTACGTTCCATACCAGGAATTCAAGATGATTTTATGATTTTTTATGATTTTATGATACGTAGGACAAATACTAAAAAGAGGAATGTAATTTTTAATGATACTAACATTTGAAAAGCATCTCAGAAGCCCTTTTTTGCCTATTCTGTTAACGATGTCATAAACATTAAACAATAAGTAACCTTTTCTCCAGCTCATGCAAATTATGCTAAAAACTTACAGAAGTTTTTGTTAAGTTTATGTTTGCTTCTGAGAAGAACACACTACTGAAAACAAGTGAGCGAAGTACAATTGAAGTGTAACGACTGCAGACCTACTAAAAATCTGGATGGCCTGGGTTAGACAATGAAGGATTTGAGAGGATTGCTTGCCTGATTTTGAATTGGTTTGGTTTCCTTTTTCTTGTGGAACTACAGCCAAAGAGTTCCAGCTATGCTTGGAGCTATGGCCATAACATTAAACAAAACAGCATGTTTTCACCTAGGATTAAATAGACATGACAGCAGCAGAGACAACACACAGAATGAAACATATCCTGCAGGAAGTCATGTACCAAGGGCTCCAAATGCTCCAGACTA